CCAAACGCAGCAGCACTGACCCGTCCCGACAGTCCGTAATGATGAGGAGAGTAGGATGAAAAGTTCAAGCGAGGGGTTCTCTTCACTACAGACTGAACGATAATGAGGCGTGTGGTGCGGTGCTGCGTAATTTTAAAGGCACAGTCCGCGATCAGGTATAAAAAATGTAAATATGGCTTCGGGAGGGTAATACGGCTCGCGCCAATAAACCTTGTATCGGTTTGCGGCAAAAAAGTGTAGGGGGGCGCTATAGCGCAATATAGGTTCAGTGACGCCTCCTTTTTCCAGTGACTCCACCTCCAGACTCCGCCTTCAAGGCTCGCCTTTCAGTGAAAAATGAAGCTGCAGGACGAAAAGCATGAAAATCGTCACTTGTACGGTCGCAGAGTTCTTATCGGGGAACCAGCTGCACGGATGAAGGTGTAGTGTTAGACAAGGAGTTTATTGGGCACGTACCATGGGATTCTATCTAGGGCAGTAGACATGTTATTTTTTCTGCTTTTCTCTTCACTGTCGAGTTACTTAGAGCCTTGTCGTCTATATGCAAACTCCTAATCCACTATCTGTGAATGAGAATGATCGCGGGCGCTGCCATTAACTCTTGAACATTGGTGTTGAAGGCGACGTGCGTTGAAACTTTGCGCCACGTCGAATAAAAGTCACACTCAAGAAGGTGTAAAACAATGCACAGCTGAAAGCTAAAAGTCATTGCTCCTATTCTCCTACGTCGTCATTGAGGGACACTGAAAACCTTGTGAAGCTTAAAAATGATCCAAGCGAGGGTCTCGATCACAAGATTTTACATTTGTCCACAAGGTAACCTAGGTAGCCTGAACAACTGCAGACTATCCTCTGCTCCCATCGAGCCGAACAGAGCTCAGAGGAAGCATAAGTAGGTGGAACGTGGCTGAAGATAAGAAAAGCACTGATACATTACCCTTCCGCTACTCACCTCTCATCGCATAAATCTCGTCGCCTTGTTGATATCCTATTTTCTTGACATCCTCCTCAGGCTCTAACGAATTGTTGAAATTGATGGTGAACTTTTGCTTGAATTCTGAGTAGTTTTGCGCAGTTAATGTAGAGTACTTGATCGACGACAATTGAGCCTCGACAATCAAACTGTCATTGAGACCGATCTTCATCGAAACCTTAACAAAACACTAGCTCTCTGTCTCCGAGATCGAAAATGTAGGGCAAACCTCTTCAATGACGTTTTGGCACTGACCATCGAGCCACCGCACTGCCAGCAGACTTGTGTTTGTGAATGCTATTTCGGTGGTTACGTTGCCCAGAGACTATAAACGTGATTAAGTCCAAAAAATAGCATACTCCGTTTTATTGATACTGCAGACGTTTTGAATCGGGTTATGCTTAGCACACAATTTTCATTTAGCTTTTATATGTCGTGTGAGGGCTTTCCAACTAATCCGAAATATGAGTGGATTCGCCTCTCCGCACTTACTACATATCCCAGATGGAGTAGGTGTGGCTGCGTACTGTACTTGAACATGAAGTAGGATGCGTTGTTTGTGCGATATTTCCATTTATATATTTATTACATGAGATGGACTCATGTGTGGACAGAAAAAAAACTAGATTGAGCTAAAAAACAACAACCCCGAGTCAACATCAACACAAAAAAACACTGAAAAAAACAAACCATTTAAAGGCAGCTGGCACGATAAATCCCCAAGGCGACTAGGATCAATACTCCTGGCAGGATAGAATTCCGCGACCCTGGGCAGGCGCTGCATAGCGGTTTCCTCGAGGAAGGTGCGGTGATTGGTAAGATGCGTACGGGAAACTCGTCCGAAATCGATTTACAAGTCACTGAGAACGGAGGCTTTTTCTTCGCAGGATTTTGACCGTTTCACTCCGTTCTTTCGCCATTTCCCCACTATAATAAAAAACGATGGTTTTCTACGTAGCCTAAAATGCCCTACTAGCATTTTAGGCTAATTAGGAAACCATCGTGCCAACTGCCTTTAATACAAGTGCTATTATTTCTATTATTTCTTGTCATGAAGTCGAGATTGCAACCGTTCTGTAACTGCAACATCCCTCGAGGAGTACTGAAGCCACATTTAAATAAAGTACGCAGCCACGGACTCTACACCTTCTTGATATGAAGTGTATCCACGTCTATTTATGAGAGCTCAAATCCACAGTCAATCAATATTTTTAACAATCTATATTTTTTTCGGAAGTTGCCTGAATCCATTCCCAGTGGAGGGATTAGGCGGAAAGAAGTTTTATTCGGAATATGCTAATACGATGATAGCGCTCTGTATATATTGCCCTCCAACCCATATAGTCGATTTCGCAGAAGACGCTGTGGCTTGTCAGGTGGGGGGGGGGGCTGAGCTCGGTGCGACGCCAGTCTGTTATCCATGGACTATTGTTGCTTGCCCGCTTCAGCAGTTGGGGGAGGACGGGGTGGTACTGTCTCAAATCCGGTCCCTCCGGCCCGCCCCAACATCTGGAGCGGCAACAAGCGTATGTACGCGACTGTCGGCTGTTTTGAATTAAATCGGAGAAAAAAACTTGACATTCTCTTGTCGACAAACATTTGTTTTTATCTTGAAAAATTTTGTTTCCCACAAAGTAGCTAGGACGTCCAAGAAAGTAAAAAATCCGTAAGAGAAAGACTGGAGAAAGGTGAGCAACTGATCTCGGTGCACACTTCATTCACTTTTTTGACTTTCTAAAAAAGTGACCGCAGCATCCCCGGTACATTCTTGTAGAACGTTCGGTCTCTACCCGAAATGAACTATATATGATAAATTAGGCGTTCTTCGACTTGAGGAGGGCGTTTTGCATTCCCTTATCGAAGTGAACTCTTGAGAAGCTACGAAGTAGCACTCAATGAAGTTTGTACAGGGCACATTGTTGAAGAGTTTTGTGAACTCATGAAAAGCTAGTGTAGTCATTCATAATAGAGCTCATATTCCACGATCACGGGCTTTGTTGAGGGTTTAGGGTTTACAGGCTTAGCTGAAGCGGCCCACCAAAGCTTTAGCAGTTCACTAGAAATTAAGTTTTACATAAATTGCAGCAAGTTATGAAGTAAAAGACACAAAAGAGGAAAACTTAGTCATGACACAGTAACAATCAGTAAAGGTTATGAGAAAAAGGGTATGCTCTTTGCATGCTCATCCTCACCTACCGAAACTAGTGGTGATCCAAAAAGTGACTGAGCAGAAAGAAAATCATTGGATAGACATTCTCCCTCCGAAAACGAGGTAAATATGGGAGTACAAGCGGTAGACTGGGAAAATCCAACCACTGAAATGTTAAAATATTTTTTTTTTTGAAAAATGAGTAGCAGCGGGAAACGCACCTACTCCCTGTTTGACAGTACATTTCGAATCAAAGAACGAAGCTGGAATGAGGAATTCCGAAACCTGCCCATCTTTTCCTGGTCATGAGCACAGGGAGCGGTGGATCTACCGTATTCTAGAAAAGGAGAGTCATGGCAAAATCAACTAAAACCACCCACATCCTCATCTTCGAGTGCATCATTCTCCATAACGAAG